TTATTTTCTTTATTATAATTTGATCTATAGTCTGCATTATAGTCTAGTATTTAGTCTGGATTATAGTATAATCTTTGGTCTAGTCTATAATCTGGACTATACACTAGACTATAGACCAGAATATAATCCTGACTATAGACTAGATTATAGACTAGATTATAGTCTGTGACTAAACTATAGTGACTATAGACTAGATTATAGACCAGATTATAGTCTGTGACTAAACTATAGGCTAGACTATAGTGACAACTATAGATTAGGCTATAGTCTAGATTATGGACTACACTATAATCCAGACTATAGAACAGAGTTTGGTCTATAGTCAATAGTCTAGCCTATAGATTGGACTATAGACTGGTCTATTGTCTGGGCTATAGTCTATTCTATTGTCTGGCAGATATTCTGGTCTATAGTCGAGTCTATGGCCTGGATTATAGTCTATAGTTTGCTTGGGTAATATCTTGTCTATAGCTAACTATAATCTGGTCTATGGTTTAGTTTATAGTCTGGTTATAGTGTGGCCTATATATAGACTATAGTCTGGATTATGGTCTGGTATATAGTCTAGTGTATAGTCTGAGCTATAGTCTAGCCTATAATCCGGACTATATTCTGCGCTATTACCTGGGCTATAGTCCGATTTAAAGACTAGTTTATAAACCAGACTATAGTCTCGTCTATAGTCCGAACTATAATCTGGTCTATAGTCTGGTCTATAATATAGTGTACAGTCTGGCCTATAATATATAGTCTGGGCTATAGTTTGGTCTATAGTCTGGTCTATAGTTTGGGATATAGTCTTTAATATATAGTGTGGTATATAGTACAGTCTAGAGTTTGTTTTATAGCCTGGCATATATTCTGTCCTATAGTCTGTACTATAGTCTAGTTGCATCTATAATCTAGCCTATAGTCTGGACTAAATTTGGACTATAGTCTAGTCCATGGTCTATACTTTAATCTAGTCTATAGTCGGTATTATAGATATATACTAATCTTTACTATTACAAACTTTGGCATATAGAGTAGTCTACAGTCTGGAGCATAGTCTAGTCTAGAGTAGTTAAAATTTCGTTGCATAAAAAATTGGTCTCCCTAATACAATTACATATACATTTGTATACATTTATAGTCACGAGTAGCACTAGTAGCCATTTAGTTGGTTGTACGATTTTGCACGTTCAATTTCGCTTTCCTTTAGCAGTTATTTTATATCTTAATATTTTGTTGTTTTTGCAAATAAAAAAAAAAACGTTACAACAACTTACAAAAACAAAGAACACTCCTTGTGGCCAGTTTAGTTTGTCGTTTTTTTTTTCTTTATAAAATATTATGCCCACATCAGAGATGGGTAATATAAATTTAAAAATTTAAAAAAATGAAAAATAGTATCTAATTTCTAGAACCATCAAAACTTAATTTCATATATAATTTGGATCCTTATAAAGTTCCAAGATAATATACATACATATGTATTTCTGCGTTCGGCATGATATGGTCCAGAGGGATGAAATATTTCTTTTATTTGTAAAATTTGTCTATAATATAAAATCCTTGATCAAATCCCAAAAAAGTACCCGCTTATCATTTTAATTACTTTTCAAAAATGTTATTGGTACTTTTATTTAGATACCGTACCAAACAAAAAGTACTAACGTACAATTTTCTTGCCTTCTGGAGTATGGACTATAAGGCTCTCATAAAAAAACACAAACTTCAAGTTGTTTTGTACATTTTGCTTTAAGGTCATACACCGCATGTTGATTGTCATTTAACGTCAGTTGATGTCGCATTTGAAACGGATGTCCTTGAAATTTCTATACAAAAACAACAACAACAAAAGAGAAACCAAAAGGTAGAAACAAACCAACAATTACAACAATAACATGAGTTCCAAACAACCACTGCAGCGACAACAGTAATACAACCAAGTTGCAAATATTAATATTTAACACTCTGTACAATTCCCGCCACAAAAACCTCATGACAAGTTGCTTGCCACATATTGCAACCCGCTCTGCTGCGCCTTTGTTGACTCCATAGTCGTTTAGGTTTATGCTGCTCTGTATCGTGTCGTACGTATCGTATCGTGATGTTAGTTTATGTGATGTTTAACAATTAGTCAACCAACGAAACATTCATCCATCCATCTATGTAGTCATTCAGCCATCTAGTTAGGTTTTTTTACCTTCATACTATATTAACCACTTATTACTTGTATCACCAGCAACATTTAGTAATTGGTAGCTGTGGTAATTTATTTAGGAGAAGAAAATCTTAAGCTTAAATTTAAAAAATACAACTACTTAAAGTGTTTATTTGGTACTTTATACTGGTACTAGTATATTTGGTACTAGTAAATTTAAACCGATATAGTATTTAGTCAATAACTAAGTAACAATAAGAACAAGGTTAGACTATAGTCTAAACTATAAACTAGACTACAGACCAGGCTATAGACTTGACAATAGTCCAAACTTTTGGATATATTATAGTCTAGACTAGACTAGACTATAGTCCAATCTTTTGGAATGATTATAGTCTATGGAGTAGAATAAACTATAGACTAGACAATAGACTAGGACTATAGAGACTAGACTATAGACTAGACTATAGAGACTAGACTATAGGCTATACTATAGACTAGACTATAGACTAGACTATAGAGACTAAACTATAGGCTATACTATAGACTAGACTATAGACTAGACTATAGACTAGACTATAGACTAGACTATAGACTAGACTATAGACTAGACTATAGACTAGACTATAGACCTAGACTATAGACTAGACTATAGACTAGACTATAGACTAGACTATAGACTAGACTATAGACTAGACTATAGACTAGATATACTAGACTATAGACTAGACTATAGACTAGACTATAGACTAGACTATAGACTAGACTATAGACTAGACTATAGACTAGACTATAGACTAGACTATAGACTAGACTATAGACTAGACTATAGACTAGACTATAGACTAGACTATAGACTAGACTATAGACTAGACTAGACTAGACTATAGACTAGACTATAGACTAGACTATAGACAGACTATAGACTAGACTATAGACTAGACTATAGACTAGACTATAGACTAGACTATAGACTAGACTATAGACTAGACTATAGACTAGACTATAGACTAGACTATAGACTAGACTATAGACTAGACTATAGACTAGACTAGACTAGACTAGACTAGACTATAGACTAGACTATAGACTAGACTATAGACTAGACTATAGACTTAGACTATAGACTAGACTATAGACTAGACTATAGACTAGACTATAGACTAGACTATAGACTAGACTATAGACTAGAACTATAGACTAGACTATAGACTAGACTATTAGACTAGACTATAGACTAGACTATAGACTAGACTATAGACTAGACTAGATAGACTAGACCTATAGACTAGAACTAATAGACTAGACTATAGACTAGACTATAGACTAGACTATAGACTAGACTATAGACCTAGACTATAGACCTAGACTATAGACTAGACTATAGACTAGACTATAACTAGACTATAGACTAGACTATATAGACTAGACTATAGACTAGACTATAGACTAGACTATAGACTAGACTATAGACTAGACTATAGACTAGACTATAGACTAGACTATAGACTAGACTATAGACTAGACTATAGACTAGACTATAGACTAGACTATAGACTAGACTATAGACTAGACTATAGACTAGACTATAGACTAGACTATAGACTAGACTATAGACTAGACTATAGACTAGACTATAGACTAGACTATAGACTAGACTATAGACTAGACTATAGACTAGACTATAGACTAGACTATAGACTAGACTATAGACTAGACTATAGACTAGACTATAGACTAGACTATAGACTAGACTATAGACTAGACTATAGACTAGACTATAGACTAGACTATAGACTAGACTATAGACTAGACTATAGACTAGACTATAGACTAGACTATAGACTAGACTATAGACTAGACTATAGACTAGACTATAGACTAGACTATAGACTAGACTATAGACTAGACTATAGACTAGACTATAGACTAGACTATAGACTAGACTATAGACTAGACTATAGACTAGACTATAGACTAGACTATAGACTAGACTATAGACTAGACTATAGACTAGACTATAGACTAGACTATAGACTAGACTATAGACTAGACTATAGACTAGACTATAGACTAGACTATAGACTAGACTATAGACTAGACTATAGACTAGACTATAGACTAGACTATAGACTAGACTATAGACTAGACTATAGACTAGACTATAGACTAGACTATAGACTAGACTATAGACTAGACTATAGACTAGACTATAGACTAGACTATAGACTAGACTATAGACTAGACTATAGACTAGACTATAGACTAGACTATAGACTAGACTATAGACTAGACTATAGACTAGACTATAGACTAGACTATAGACTAGACTATAGACTAGACTATAGACTAAACTACAGACTTGACTATAAAGTAGACTGTAGGCCAGACTATAAAGTGCTATATAGTACAGACTATGGACTTTAGACAGTAGACTAGACTATGGTCTACACTAGACTATAGTTCAGAATGTGACTAGACTGTAGCCTACTAAAATATACTCTCGTATATGGTCTAAAGTATGGGCTAATGTCTGGTATATAGTGTGGACTATAGTGTAGCCTATAGTCTTGATTATTCTTTAGTATATAATAAGGACTATAGTGTTGTCTGTCTATAGTCTGGACCTTAGTCTAGTCTATTGTCTAGTTTAAAGTCTGCTTTAGTGTGTGGTCTATAGTTTATACTTTAGTTTTATCTATAGTCTGGACTAAATTCCGATTTATAGTCTTGTTTATAGGTTGTACTGTATAGCTTGTCCATTATATTTATGTAATACTATATTTTTTAGTTCATATATGTTTGTATGTATGTGTTTAAGAATATTTAACAATTTTGTTTTTCAATATTTGTTTTCTTTGCAGTTTTAATGGAACACTTTTCTATTAATTACACAATACCGGTAAGTTCCAAATTACTCTTATATCTTATTTCTATATATTTTATTAATTAAATATATAATTTATTTATAATGATATTATATTACTATTAACATTACCACGTAATGTTTACCCTTGTTGAACTCTAAATATATCCACAACTACTGCAATTTAATCTTTGGATTTCTATTTTTAGAATATTTGTTATATATACTCCTGTAGGTTGTTTTTTTTTTTTTGTTATCGGTAAATCCATTGAGTATTACAGGGAATTATATTATTGTAAAAGAAGAGTGTTAATTAAGAGCGTTACTTAGATTAGTTGGCAAGTAGTATTAGTATTCGAGAGGTATTAAAAAAGTAATGCATTCGCGGAATTTATGATATATTTTGCAGTTATAGTTCTTTGGTTCTGTTAATTTAAGTAGTAAAATTCGAACATTTGTAAGATTTGGGTCCTTGAGGTATCCTTCGAAAACTTGATGTTAAATTACTTTTATCTCTTAATGTCTTTTTTTAATATGTATATAAGTATGTATAATACAAATTATGTACATATTTTTTCCATGATAAACTCAATTGAAATTTATTGTTCTTAATATACATGTCCTTTTTTAAGTTCTTTTTAATGGAAAATTATGTTAGCAAGTGGAAAACATAAATTTCTCTTTCCCCATAATAATTTCCAATTGAATTTGATTAAAGTTTAATTTGACAGAATTAAATTTCCTTTTCACCTAATAATTTTTTCATGGTTCGACACATCTTTCCAGTTCAATAGTGTGTGTAGATTCGAGTACAACACCGACATTTACACACACACACAAATACATTCATCTACATCCTTAATCTCGTACACACAAAGTTATTTAATGAGTTCTAGCTCCTCTTTTATGTGAGCCCTTAACGAAAATGCCCAGCAGTTTAAAAGACATCGGTATATCCATTGTAAAAATAGCATGTATTCAATAGGTGCTGTAGTGACATCAAATAATATAGTCCTAAGTCAAATGCAGTGTAGTTGGGGTTCTTCTAATCAAAGCAAAGATTGATTATAGTCTATAACGAGTCGATTGACTTTACAAGATCCCAAACGTCACTCCGAACAGCAGGGTATTACATCGTATCTGTGTAGGTGTATAAAAACAGTAGAAAAACAACAAAACAACGGTAGAGCAGTGACAAATACAATTACCAAAACATACACACACTAATACACACTCTATGCTGACGTGGGTGTATAACGCTGTAGCATAACACTTCAGTAATTAAACAACTCAATAAAATTAATTCATTGCTCGACTGAGAGCATATTTGTGTAATGAGAGGGGGAGTAGTAGGAGGAGTAGAAGCGAGTTTCAATTATTGATATTCAGTTTCAATATTAATGTGTGTGAGGTTTTCAGAGTTGCTAAAGGATGAGCACAAATTGTGCATATATAATTCTGGACTATAGCTGAGTCTAATAATAATATTTTGGAATATAGTCTGAATTATATAGTCTATAGTCAGTCTAGTCTAGTCTATAGTCTATAGTCTAGTCTATAGTCTAGTCTATAGTCTAGTCTAGTCTAGTCTATAGTCTAGTCTAGTCTAGTCTATAGTCTAGTCTATAGTCTAGTCTATAGTCTAGTCTAGTCTAGTCTATAGTCTAGTATAGTCTAGTCTATAGTCTAGTCTATAGTCTAGTCTATAGTCTAGTCTATAGTCTAGTCTATAGTCTAGTCTATAGTCTAGTCTAGTCTAGTCTATAGTCTAGTCTATAGTCTAGTCTATAGTCTAGTCAATAGTCTAGTCTATAGTCTAGTCTATAGTCTAGTCTATAGTCTAGTCTATAGTCTAGTCTATAGTCTAGTCTATAGTCTAGTCTATAGTCTAGTCTATAGTCTAGTCTATAGTCTAGTCTATAGTCTAGTCTATAGTCTAGTCTATAGTCTAGTCTATAGTCTAGTCTATAGTCTAGTCTATAGTCTAGTCTATAGTCTAGTCTATAGTCTAGTCTATAGTCTAGTCTATAGTCTAGTCTATAGTCTAGTCTATAGTCTAGTCTATAGTCTAGTCTATAGTCTAGTCTATAGTCTAGTCTATAGTCTAGTCTCTAGTCTATAGTCTAGTATAGTCTAGTCTATAGTCTAGTCTATAGTCTAGTCTATAGTCTAGTCTATAGTCTAGTCTATAGTCTAGTCTATAGTCTAGTCTATAGTCTAGTCTATAGTCTATCATAGTCTAGTCTATAGGTCTAGTCTATAGTCTAGTCTATAGTCTAGTCTATAGTCTAGTCTATAGTCTAGTCTATAGTCTAGTCTATAGTCTAGTCATAGTCTAGTCTATAGTCTAGTCTATAGTCTAGTCTATAGTCTAGTCTATAGTCTAGTCTATAGTCTAGTCTATAGTCTAGTCTATAGTCTAGTCTATAGTCTAGTCTATAGTCTAGTCTATAGTCTAGTCTATAGTCTAGTCTATAGTCTAGTCTATAGTCTAGTCTATAGTCTAGTCTAAGTCTAGTCTATAGTCTAGTCTATAGTCTAGTCTATAGTCTAGTCTATAGTCTAGTCTATAGTCTAGTCTATAGTCTAGTCTATAGTCTAGTCTATAGTCTAGTCTATAGTCTAGTCTATAGTATAGTTATAGTTAGTCTAGTCTATAGTCTCGTCTATAGTCTCGTTCTATAGTTAGTCTATAGTCTAGTCTATAGTCTAGTCTATAGTCTAGTCTATAGTCTAGTCTATAGTCTAGTCTATAGTTGTCATAGTCTATCTATAGTCTAGTCTATAGTCTAGTCTATAGTCTAGTCTATAGTCTTAGTCTTCTATAGTCTAGTCTATAGTCTAGTCTATAGTCTAGTCTATAGTCTAGTCTATAGTCTAGTCATATAGTCTAGTCTATAGTCTAGTCTATAGTCTAGTCTATAGTCTAGTCTATAGTCTAGTCTATAGTCTAGTCTATAGTCTAGTCTATAGTCTAGTCTATAGTTCTAGTCTATAGTCTAGTCTATAGTCTAGTCTATAGTCTAGTCTATAGTCTAGTCTATAGTCTAGTCTATAGTCTAGGTCTATAGTCTAGTCTATAGTCTAGTCTATAGTCTAGTCTATAGTCTAGTCTATAGTCTAGTCTATGTCTAGTCTATAGTCTAGTCTATAGTCTAGTCTATAGTCTAGTCTATAGTCTAGTCTATAGTCTAGTCTATAGTCTAGTCTATAGTCTAGTCTATAGTCTAGTCTATAGTCTAGTCTATAGTCTAGTCTATAGTCTAGTCTATAGTCTAATCTATAGTCTAGTCTATAGTCTAGTCTATAGTCTAGTCTATAGTCTAGTCTATAGTCTAGTCTATAGTCTAGTCTATAGTCTAGTCTATAGTCTAGTCTATAGTCTAGTCTATAGTCTAGTCTATAGTCTAGTCTATAGTCTAGTCTATAGTCTAGTCTATAGTCTAGTCTATAGTCTAGTCTATAGTCTAGTCTATAGTCTAGTCTATAGTCTAGTCTATAGTCTAGTCTAGTCTATAGTCTAGTCTAGTCTAGTCTATAGTCTAGTCTATAGTCTAGTCTATAGTCTAGTCTATAGTCTAGTCTATAGTCTAGTCTATAGTCTAGTCTATAGTCTAGTCTATAGTCTAGTCTATAGTCTAGTCTATAGTCTAGTCTATAGTCTAGTCTATAGTCCTGACTATAGTCTAGTCTATCGTCTAGTCTATAGTCTAGTCTATAGTCTAGTCTATCGTCTAGTCTATAGTCTAGTCTATAGTCTAGTCTATAGTCTAGTCTATCGTCTATAGTCTAGTCTATAGTCTAGTCTATAGTCTAGTCTACAGTCTAGTCTAGTCTAGTCTATAGTCTAGTCTAGTCTATAGTCTAGTCTAGTCTATAGTCTAGTCTAGTCTATAGTCTAGTCTATAGTCTAGTCTATTGTCTAGTCTATAGTCTAGTCTATTGTCTAGTCTATAGTCTAGTCTATAGTCTAGTCTATAGTCTACTCTATTGTCTAGTCTATAGTCTAGTCTATAGTCTAGTCCATAGTCAAGTCTATAGAATATTATTCTCTATCTATTTCTCATATTGGCCACCTAAATATTGATGAAATTATATGCCGATAAAGCATAAGCCCCATGTTGGGAAGCACAGAAAAAGATAAAATTGTACCAACACATTTTTACTTCGACTGTGAGTCTGTATATATTGTTATACGTGTATGTGTTTATTAGTCGTTATTGTGGTCAAATATTATGACTGACGGTACAAATACAAATTAACCCTGCAGTTCTCAGATTTTTAAAAATTTATTTTTTTTTCCATTAGTTGACGTATTTTAGACCTCTAACCTCTAGACATCATAATATTACCTTCAATCAAATAGATATACGGATTAAAAGCCATGCAAGTAGGTTTGGCTTCCATGTTCTGCTGGGTATTTATAAAATTCTGTCCATGTATGTATGTGTGTGTGCACATGTCAAAGTGTATTGGCAAGTGTATTATGTGATGGTTAATCATTAGGATGCTTTTGATTATTTTCTTTTTTTTTTACACATTATAATGATTTTATCATATTAATTATTTACAACACTTTTACACACATGTTGTTTTTCTCCAAACACACTTTCCAAGGTATCTAGTACTTGTGTCTAAAAATATAATAAAAAAATTGTTACCTTTAAATTCTTTAATGAAAAAATTAGAGCAATTTGCCTTCTTTAATTTGTTTAAAATTTCTTTAGCGAGAGATTTTCAATATCAAAAATTGTTTTTTTGTGGAAAATCTAGATTGGATGCAGTAGCTTCCGTTTGGGAAATCTCTGATGAATGGACATTATGTTAGTAGACGTATAGGGTGTTGTTCGGTTTTATTAGTCTACACTTGCCTTAAGTATAACTTTTCTAACAACCTAACAACGATTTGTTTGCATAATTCTAGTTGTTCTATAAAACTACACGTTTGTCTAACATGTGATAATTTTATATCACAAGAATAGTAGAAACATGTTGCACGTTTTATGCTGCTATTACGCCATTGTTTCTAATGTTTC